TCACAAAAATGAACAATAGTGTAAGAAAATAAAAAGTCTAAAAAATATGATATTTAATAGCACAGATAATTCTATGGTATATATTACTATTGCTCATTTAACCACTTCCTTATTATATATACAATGTATAGATTGGCTCAATTTTCTTGTATTTGTTTTAACAAATGAGTATCTTATTTCATTGAACGTATTTTTGTAAGTTTCTGATTCTCTTCCTTCAGTTAGATTTTCAGAAGTGAAATTACTATAACAAAATATATGACCTCCTTAACTGGTCTTGATATATTTTATGATATTGTCTTCTAGAATGATTCATTCCAGTAGAGACAGTGAAGGTACTCACATAACTGTATCTTTGCTGGTGCTAAGTATTATTGTTTTCTAAAACTCTTAACCAAATTTGATAAACAATTTTTAGTTCTTCAATTAAGTAGAAACTTTTCCCTGTGTTTATTAGTCATTCATATATTCTATAAAATTGTTTTGTATTTTTCGTGACTAGCTAATTTTAGTCAGTATTATTGGCCCCCTGCTATAGTATGAAGAATTTAATACCCAGGGCCTCCCCAGTGGCGCAGCGGTTGAGCGCTGGGCTGCGAAGCTGCCTACAGCCTCTGCAGCGCCGGTTCGATCCCTGGCCACTGACGAGGGTCCCACATGGCGCGCAGACCTCTCCTGCCGCCCGCTGCTCCCCTCAGCAGTGTACTTCGGTCCTTCTGCCTGTTCTGCTCCCCGCTCTGGCTCTGGTGAATTCTCTCACCTTCCCATGCTTCTGACTGTAACCAGTGCTTGTATAAATAAATAAATAAAATTTAAAAAAAAAAAAAAAAAAAGAATTTAATACCCATACAATTCCTTTCTGTCCCTTTTGTTTATGTTACTTACATATTCTTACTTGTTAAATTGATTGCTATATGCCTCAAAGTAATGTAATTAAGCCTCTATTAATTCATTGACTTTAGACAGCATATCTCTGCTGAAGGATAAGTAAATTAAGACATATAATGTGTTTTTATTGTTCTTTCTCTATTCTCTAACCCCATTCCTCCAATCCTGAGCTTTTATCACTTCACTATTATTTAATCTCTACTTGTTTGCTTTTAAACATTTATCTTTTGCTCTCCAAATTTAATTAAGCCTCTGTTGATCCTGAAAATTAAAAAACAATTTGGGATGTTAACATCATGGTTATGTAAATATAGTATACCAAAGTATCAAGGTTCCTAAACATAGGACTGCAGGTTTCCTTTCAAATTTAAGTGTTCGGTTCCATGAGAAATGAAAGGTCATCATATGCTTCTTGATAGAAATCTTGCATGTGTTAACTTCTAATTTCTAGTTTCCTTTACTTCATCTGGCTTGTATTCTTGCATTTTTTGCCATCTGATGTCTTTGTTTTCTGTTTTGTTTATTTGAAAAATGCCCTCATAAATTGTCTTCTACAGTAAATGTGGTGGTTAGTGAATAGTTTCTGTGCTTAATTTGTTGAATGGCTGCTCAGAATTTAGGTTCAAAATATCTCTCCTTCATTTCTCCTGGAATCAAGCATCCCAGATTATTGATAAGGAGTATGGCAGCTTGATTCTCTCACTTTGTTTATACAACCCATGATTTCTCTTTAGAAGCATTTATAACTTTATCCTTAGAGTGCTGATATTTTACCAGGGTGTGGTATGGTATGAAGTGTTTTCATTTATCCTCTCTGGCATTTAATTTATACTTTCTTTTTGAACTGCGCTATGTTATAGTTTGGGGGTAGGTTAATAAATAAACTTATGTTTATTTCTCTCTTCTGGAACTCCTCTAAATAGGTACTAAACCTCTTGAATCTGTTCTCCATGTTGCTCAATTTTTCTTTCATGTTTCCAATTTCTTTTTTATTTTTTTCAGTGTTCTTTATCTCTCTACCCGCCCAGCTTTGTTTTCAATCTTGTCTGGTTAATAATTTTTTTTGCTCCTAAGGACTCTTTTTGTTATCTGATTCCCTCTTTTCTATGGCAGTCTCTTTTTTGCCTTGTAGCTATAATAGCTTTCTATAGCTCTCTGAAGATAATAAATCTCTGTAGGCTAAATTAACCTTATTTCTCTGGTTTATTTTCTGTTTCTTCATTTGGGAATGTGTTTATTATCTATTGATGTTTAATCATTTATCCCACAATGCTTAAAATAATAAACATCTTGTTGTCCTCGACAGTTTCCATGGGCATGATTTAGCTGGGTGCCTCTATCTTTCATGAGGCAATAATCAAGTTGTTTGCCAGGTCTGCAGTCTCATCTGAAGGCTCAATAGTAGAAGGGTCTGCTTCCAAGTTTACTTCTGGGTTGTTGGCTGGATTAACTTACCAAGCCTGAGGGTATGTCACTGCTGCCAGTTGTGCATCTTATTTCTTTTATTTGGGAATAGGAAGAGGAGAAGCCTATCTTTCAGATGTTCTGAAGGCATGTATTTTAATGAAATAGCCTAACAGTCCTCCCATTGCCTATTCCTATTTGTATTTATTGGTTCTAAGCTTGAAACTTCTTTGGCTACTCTTGGTGGGAACCATGCTTATGTAAAATGTCTGCACATTAGGTTTCCTCTTCTCAAATTTCCCCATCTGATTCTACTTGATTTTCTTTTTATGGTTTGTTGATGCCATACTTTTCTGTTTTATAGTGCTGTTGTTGTAGTTTAATTCTTTAAACCTAAAACAATTTTTCTAGCATTTCAGTGACACCTTAAAAGTGAATGGAGGCAGATGTTGATGAGGAGTTTCCATGAATTCAGTCTCACATCCTAGACTGAGCTTTTTATTAGAGAAAGTAAAATGTTGTTTTGTTACCTAACATTGATCTAATATATTTGGGATATATTTGGCATATTTCTAATAAAATTGATGAGAAAGAGCAGAATATTTATTATAATAGTGAATTTTTTCATGCTCTATTATTTCCTCTCTTTGCAGTTCCCCAAAACATATTTCTATGAAGACTTATCTTTTTTTCTTTTCCTCTTCTACAACTTAAACTTAGTCAGCTTTTCTTTCTATTCTCTTGGGAGTAGTTTCTTAGAACAAGTCACTTAAAAATATTGCTGATACTGTGTTTTCTTTTCTTTTTTAAAAATTTTTTAAAGATTTTTTTATTTATACAATAGCTGAGGCCAGGGGTGCAGGAGGGTGAGAGGATTCACCAGAGACAGAGTGGGGAGCAGAACAGGCAGACAGACCAAAAACACTGCTGAGGGGAGCAGAGGGCGCCACAGGAGAGGTCTGCCACACCATGTGGGAATCTCCCTGGCCAGCTAGGATCGAATCCATGCTGCTGATATAAGTGCTGAGGATGTTGAGATAATTGAACTAAAATTGTGATAGTAGGATAGGTTTAAAATTCTTTTATTTCTAAGTAAAACAAACCTGTTTTAAACTAGTTTAGGTTAAAAAGAGAGTTTGTTAGACAGAAACTGCAACGCTCCTCTGAACCCCAAGGTAAGAATTGTATTTGGATATCATTAGGGTCTGTGACCTTAAACTAGAAAGCTTATAGGAACCCAGCTAGCTAATACCTTTGTCTCAGACTTTCTGTCTCTCATGTCTCTATTTTTCTGGACATCTGCTTATTCTTTTCTTTCTTAGCAGACTCAGTGTGTTTTGGCATGGTCAAATAGTGGTTGCCCAACAATAGCAACCTGATTTTCTAAGTCCATGTCCTCTCAGCTCAAGCAAGTAGGTAAGAGGCAGAACCCTGGATTTGAATGAGAAAGAATCAATTGATTTAATGTGGCCAGTCTTTCTTTTTAGATTGGTTTAATGTGGTCATATTTTATGGTATAAATATGAGTACCAACAAAGAGTCAAGTGAGTAGAAGATATCTCAAAACATGTCAGCTACAATATTCTTGCTTATATCCAATGTGTAAGTCCTTATTAGAGACGTAGCTTAGCTTGTAGTTAAGAACATGGACTTAGTTCAGACAGACCATGATTTGAATCTCAGTCCTGCCACCAATTTGCTGTGTGATCTTTCTAAGGATCAAATTCTTTCTCTGTACAATTGGGATGTTAAAGTCTTTCTCCTGGAGTTACTGGGAGGGTAAGAGGAGAACACAAATGGCACACCCTACACACTCATAAACAGTAATTATTATTAATTACTACTATTATCATACAATTTGGGAAAATTATGTTAATGGAGGGACATGCATTTTACCACTTTGAACAATGCAAGAAGATCTGGAAGCATAATTCCAAATGCCTCAGAATTGCATAATCAGTAGGTATGAAAGAGAGTTTTACTTTTACCATTTTTGACCAAAGAAATAACACAGATTAGGCTGTTGGAGTTAGGACCCATATGATCTATATTTATTTCCAGAATGTAACCTTTGCTGTTGCTTATTTAGAAAGAGAGCTCTTAGTGGTCTTACAATCCTAAACAAAGCCAAACAGGACTAGTGGACACTGGTTACAAACATCATAGTTCTTTCCAGACATACTCTGTGAATCCTGTGAGGGGTTTTCTCCTCTTGTTGCCTGTGTATGTCACCTCTGGTGGACAGATTGTAGGTATAAGTCTGCCTGTTCTGATGGTCACTGACTCATTCTATTTGGTGAAAGGTCTATTCTTATTGGCTAGTGCTTTACCTGGTGAGATATTTTGAATATCATCCCTGAAAACCAAGTATGTGCCATCAACTCAAAGACCTCCACTTTTTTGCTTAAGGAGATGCACTGTTTTCTTTATAAGATAATAGGTTTTCTTTGCACTTTTCTCACATGTGGATAAAATTGGGGGTGGTAACCATCAATAAATGAACTCTGGTAAAGAATATGTAAAATGTTATTGATTCAAATTCTATCTGGTTGAAGGATATAAAATTTTGCAAGCTGAAAGTTAATATTTATATAGTTTGCCAAACAAACTATCTTCATTGCTTCTTTTAAAATTGTAGTATATGCTGTTTTATATGAATCTATGGTAGAACAATAGCTCAGTGACTAATTGTGTAATTTTCTCTCAAGTTATGCAGACATTTTGATTGAGAGGGAAGTGTTAATGCAGAAGTATATTCATCTAGTTCAGATCGTGGAGACAGAAAAAATTGCAGCCAACCAACTCCGGCATCAACTTGAAGATCAAGATACAGAGATCGAAAGGCTTAAATCTGAGGTATTTCCTGACTGGCATTTCTTTGCATTGTTTCATGTTTAATGTCATCTTCTTATGATTACTTAAGATCTATCAGAACAAAATTTTAATCCCAAACTGAGTTCCTCTGCTATTAATGCATACCTGACTGGGCTACTGATAAATACTTGAAACGAGCCTAATGTTTCTGTTAGCGTTAAGTAAATGTGCTGCAATAAAGAATCAAGATAATATACTACTTTTCAATTATTTGTTCTCCTAATGGCCACCATTTGATCAGATGTTCAAGAGCTGACTGTGATATTTAACTGTTTCAGACTGACACTTATAGTTATGACAATTTTGAGTCTGTCATGAATTCAGTTAAAGTGACAGTTAAATGACAATGACTGTTAAGAAAGGACCAGGAATGAGTTCAGAAAGATGTTTTTTAGATCTAAGGAGTCCATCCTTCTTCCTTCCAGAATTTTGAAAAGCACATTTGAGTTGAAGACATTTAAAAATGTTAGGGTACATTTTTTCCTGAAAAGGTAAGTGAGGGAAGAATCCCTGTCTTCCCTCACTTTTCCTTCTACCCTCCCAAGTGTGAACTAATCAAGCCCTAGGCCTACAGACAGTTGGAATGACTCCAGGTGAGAGCCGAAGTGGTCATGGAGTCTGCAGCCATGGTGTGGACCTGGGTCTTCCCTTCTCTCAGGTGCTGCTGTCTGCATATAGAAACCTGGGTGTGCTTTTCCTTTCTGTCTTGTCATTCCTCATGGGAAGTGGTCAGTAATTGAAGAATTGAAGAGGAATGTAGAGATTGGGATTTTCTCTTTTTTTCAGACTAGAGGTTCACTAGCATCTTCTTAGCTACAAAGGAAGAAGAGAACAGAATGAAACCCATTACTAATTGTATCCTTGTTGACAGAAATGATTCTGTTAAGGTGACTTGGCAACCTTCTTGTCACTTAAACTGCCATTGGGCAATGTTTCCTCTGTGTTTCCTCGCACCTTCCTCCCAGATGTACTCTGGGAGACTGGTGAGGGGTTTTCACCTCCTTTTTTTTGTCACCTCTAGTGGACAGAGCATGAGTATAAGATAATTTCAGCTGGAGTCTAATTGCTTCTCTGGTGATGATAAGTTGCAGACTGTGTTCACCATATTATTAGTGTTGTTAACTTCTTGATTCAACCCTGAAATCTGATATAGTGAAAACAACAACAGAAGACTTAAAAAACCTGCATTTTAAAAGACTATATCAGGCACTGTAATTTAAAACAAAATTATTGTGTTCTTTCTTTGTCTCAGTAAGCTAGTGCAGATGCTTGTCTGATAAGTGAAAGAGGTTGGCATTTACTCTATGAGAGAAACTCAGCACCAAGCGATGTTCCCCAATATTTGTGTGTGCTTCTCTGACTTCACTATGTTCTATTTTAGTCTGAATATAGATTGCAGTTAAAAACTGTCAGTAGCAGGTATGTCTTGTGTGGTCGCATGACAGGAGCCATAATTTGATTCCTACTCTTTTGTTTTCTCACCTCCCTGCCAGAAAATGGCAGAAGAGTGTATTTGGTGTTAGGAACAAAGTGCAAAGACAGGTTAGAGAGGGAAATTGTGATTTCTTTAAACTTTTTCAGGGTTCACTTGTTAGTAAAATCAGTATAAAATATTGGATTTGTAAGAGTGTGCAACTGAGGTTTTTATTCCTAAGTGTAGTTGAGAAGCCATGTGGTCTTGACTTACCTTTCAAACGTCACTGATCTGAGTTGGAGATATAAAGAGATCCTAGATTATTTCAATCCTTTTTACCTTCTCTTGACTGATTTGGACCAACCCAGGGCTCCCAGCTTCCCTTGTGCAGTAACCATTTACCTAAGGGATCGTCTATGCTTAGAAGACCACAGGCTAATTAAGGGAAACACAAACTTTGAACTGATTGTTACTGCATTTGAAGACCACAGGGCATTATAGTTATCTGCCTTTGGGCAAGATGGTTGACATGTTACTAGTTCCTGAGAAGGCCTTGGCCTGGTCATCTCTTAGTAATTAGGGCTGAATTTTGGGGTAGCATTTCTTCTAACACAGATCCCAATTCACAATTTCCATAGTCATTTCTTATAAGCATGTTTGTTAGTAATATAATAAAATAGATTTGGATGAAATTCATGCTTCCCCTGTCTCATCACCAAAAGAAGAGAGGGGACATAAAAGGTGAATGTTTCCTATGGGTCTCATAAGCTGCCTTGTAAAAATAACTTCTATGGGCTAGGGCTGTAATCCAGTATGTCCAAAATCATGAAAAGGACCTTTTTTGTTGTTATAGATAATTGCTCTTAATAAGACCAAGGAACGAATGCGACCATACCAAAGCAATCAAGAAGACGAGGATCCAGACATCAAGAAGATTAAAAAGGTAGGAAGCTTTTGGGGGCTTTCAGCAGGTATGGAAGTCAGTTGTCTTTTATGCGGGGATGTATTTGTCACTCTGCCCCTGAGTTGAGATAAGCCACCGTATTTCTGTTCCCATGGAACAGTCTTGTGCTTCAGAGTGATCCAGACATGGCTGCTGTGGAGAAGTCTCTGTGATTTCTTTCCAGTTCTAGGAACCCCCTTTTGGACTGTGCGAAAAGGATGCCCAATTGGACATTAAGACAGTAGTGTTCTCCAGCTGGATTAATTAGGTGCTCTTAAACCTCCTAATTTTGTGCTGCTTTCATGTTTGGGGGGGAATCTTTTTTAAATTATATTTCAAAAAAAACTTCTTTTAGTTTTAGTCTTCACTGCTTATTTAGAAAAGATTTTTTTGAACTGTGAAAAGATTAAGTATGTCAATACATCTGCTCAGATTTGTTTTATTAATTTGTTTCTCTCTTGTTTAACATCCACATAATTGGCAGATCTTTCCATCTTACTGTCATTTAAAACTATACAACTTTTGCAATTAACCAGGCACTGGCACTCACTCTAGTCTACTGTGTTTGATTTATGTCATCTAGTTTTCTAATTTCATGATCTTAATTGTCTTGTGTAAAGTACTTACTCAACTTTGTGAACATTATGTGAAAAGCTTCACAGTTAAAGAAATTTTCTTGGCTATACATCTTCAAATCCTTATTCTTCTCAGTTTTTCCTTAGTCCTGTTTCTCTGTGCTAACTATTCCCCTTCAGATGTAACACAACTTTAACTAAATATAGTTCAGATTTTGAAATACAAATGATCCTCAAGACTAAGTTGCAATGTTTTATTTTTTTAAGATTTATTTTATTTATTTATTTATGCAAACAAGAACTGGGGTGTAGGCCAGAGGTGTTGGGCATGAGAGGATTCACCAGAGACAGAGTGGGGAACAGAACAGGCAGATGTACTGAAATACACTGCTGAGGGGAGCAGTGAGCAAGGCAGGAGAGGTCTTGTGCCATGAGGGTTAACTCCCTGGCTAGGGATGGAACTCATGCCACAGTGGGGAGAGCGCTGAGACTTTACCCCTGTGCCACCAGGGAGGCCCTAAGTTGCAATGTTTATTTAAAAATTTTAAAGTTAAGTTTAAGTAATGCTGTTACCTTTCTTTTAATAGTATGCAGTTGCATGTAAACAAAGAGAGCAGTAAAAAAAAAAGTACAACTTTCAATCCAGCTGTAGAAACTTGTCTATTAGTAAGTAAATTACTTACAATAATGTTTTAATATTAATACCTAATAAGTACTTAACCTATTAGTAAGTCAACCAGCATTTGCTTATCAAGCAATACATCTGATAATGCTGATCACATCAGTAGGTAACAGAGAATTTAAAATATTGGAAGGAAGAGTAGTTATTTAAATACAAGACCAGGGCCTCCCTGGTGGCGCACGGGTTAAGACACAACCTATGAAGCTGTCCATAGCCACTGTAGCGTAAGTTCAATTCCCAGCCAGCCAGGGAGCAACTCACATGGTATAGCAGACCTCTCCTGGCTCGCTCGCTGCTCCCCTCAGCAGTGTACTTTGGTCAGTCTGCCTGTTCCGTTCCCCACTCTGTCTCTGGTGAATCCTCTCACACACACCCCACCCCACATCTCTGGTCTGTACCCCAGCTTTGGTATGCATAAATAAATAAATATTTAAAAAAATACAAGACCATATGGGTGAAATAGTATGGAAAAAATAAAATGTGTGAGAGTGTATTGATAACAATGGTCCTAAAAAAAGATTTGGTAGTGATATCTGCTTAGTACCCAGCATTTACCTGGGCATTTAAAAGATGTGCAGTAAGTGTTTGTTGGATAAAACATGTCGTTCCAGTGCACTTTCTCAGGTTTGCTTGTTATTTTTCAAATCGTACCTGGGACCACATTGATAGAAGTGATCACATTTTCCACAAAATAGATTTTTAATTATATTTCATGCTTCTTTTCACAAAATAATCACCATTGCAAATTGTTAATATGTATTTTACCCACGTGGCTGGGGAAGAGAGTCTTTATAACTAACAATAAACAGGTCAAAGAATACTAAGACTGATTATAGCTTTCCTGTGTGACTTACCATGACATTTAGTTTACTCATTTGTAGATGGAATGGGTCAGATGAGCTGATGTCTAACACTAATTTTTTTAAGTTAAAGAAAAAACTCACCAAGGGCAAAGGGCTTGAATAGATGTTACTCCGAAGATGTTATGCAAATAACATCTTATCTTTGAAGAAATGATAGACACATGAAAAATACCATCCCTAAGCATCAGAAAAATACAAATTAAAAAAAAGGCATTGCAATATGACCTCCCATGTATTAGGATGACTGCTATAAAACAAACAAACAGGGTTTCTCTGGTGGTGCAGGCAGTTGAGTGCAGCGCTGTGAAGCTGTCTGTTGCTTCTGCAGTGCTGGTTCGATCCCCGCTGGCGTCAGAGCAACCCACATGGCGGGCAGACCTCTCCTGTCTCGCCCGCTGCTCCCCTCAGCAGTGTATTTCATCATTCTGCCTGTTCTGTTCCCCGCTCTGTCTCTGGTTAATCCTCTCACCCTCTCGCTCATCTGGCCTGTACCCCAGTTCTTGTGTAAATAAAAATATATCTTTAAAAAAAAATTAAAAAAAAAAAACACCAGAAAATAGCAAGTACTGATGAAGATGTGGAGAAATTGGAACCCTGTGCACTGTTGTTGAGATTATACAGTGGTTCAACTCCTATGGAAAACAGTATGGCAATTCCTCAAAAAATTAAAAATAGAATTACTATATGATTCAGCAATTCTATATCTGGGTGTATATACAAAAGAGTTGAAAGCAGGATTTTTTTTTTAAAGATTTATTTATTTATGCATACAAGAGCTGTGGGTACAGGCCAGAGGTGTGGGGAGTGAGAGGATTCGCCAGATACAGAGCAGGGAACAGAACAGGCAGATTGATAGAAGTACATTGCTGAGTGGAGCAGCAGGCGAGTCAGGAGAGGTCTGCTGCACCATGTGGGTTGCTCCCTGGCTGGCCGGGGATCGAACTTGTGCTACAGAGGCTGTGGATTGCTTCATAGTGCGGTGCTTAACCCCTTGAGCCACCAGGGAGGCCCGAAAGCAGGATCTCGAAAAGAGATTTGTACTTCCATATTCATTGCGGTGATATTCACAATAATAAAGAGATAGAAACTACCCAAATGCCCATCAACAGATGAATGCACAAACCAAATATGGCACTTGCTACACCGTGGATGAACGTTGTGGTCATTACAGAGAGCAAGTGAAATAAGACATTCACAAAAGAATAGATACTTTAGAATTCCACTTATGTGAGGTATCTAAAGTAGTCAAATTCACAGACCCAGAAAGTAGAGTGGTGGTTACCAGGGACTGGAGGGGGAAGGGGGAAATGGGGAGTTATTATTTAATACATGCAGTTTCTTTCTCCAGATGGAAAGGTTCTGGAGGTTTATTGTACAATAATGTAAATATATTAACACTTCTGAAATATACACTTAAAAATACACTGAAATATTCACTGAAATATACACTTAAAAATAAGGTGGCAAATTTTATGTTTTTTAAATATCTAATTTTATATTATTAAAGAATGAACCTTTAATATTTTTCTTTCCTGAAATGTCAATAAGTGAATCAGCAATATTGTTGTTATGTTCTAGTGTCCATACAGGCAGGCAGGTCTAAAGAGCTTAAGGTATGGAAGAAACTTGTGAAACTGAGGGAAAAAAAATTATTTTAAAATCATCTTTGTTTTTGCCATCTGGGAAAAAACTGCCATTGTTGATTCTTGTGGTGGGATCATTGGTGCATGATTGAAAGGGCAGTGTTTTATGTGACACAGGGGAACCAACCTTACTGACTTAACAGTCAGTTTCTCCTCTTCCTGACATTCTTTGTTTTTGTTCTGTAGGTCCAGAGCTTCATGCGAGGATGGTTGTGTAGAAGGAAATGGAAGACCATCGTGCAGGATTATATTTGTTCTCCTCATGCTGAGAGTATGAGGAAGAGAAACCAGATTGTGTTCACCATGGTTGAGGCTGAGTCAGAGTATGTTCACCAACTCTACATCCTGGTCAACGGCTTCCTCCGGCCACTCCGAATGGCCGCCAGCTCCAAGAAGCCACCTATCAGCCATGATGATGTCAGCAGTATTTTTCTCAACAGGTTTGTTTGTTTTTTTTTTTTATTTATTTTTATTCAAGAGCTGGGGTACAGGCCAGAGGCTCAGGAGGGTGAGAGGATTCACAGAGACAGAGCAGGAAGCAGAACAGGCAGACAACCAAAATACACTGTTGAGGGGAGCAGCGGGCATAACAGGAGAGGTCTGCCACACCATGTGGGTATCTCCCTGGCCGGCCGGGAATCGAACCCTCTCTGCAGAGGCTGTGGATAGCTTCACAGAGCTGTGCTCAACCCACTGTGCCACCAGGGAGGCCTTCAACAGGTTTGTTTTGACATAAGTCAAATAGTCATGTGAAAAACCCATTTCTTAAAAGAACTTTTAGTTTACACTGAAAAGAATAGGTATCATCAATTCACTTTTATGAGCTTATGGTATTGAAAATAAGAAAACTTTCATTTGTGTTTTATTATCAGTCCGTATTTTTGCATATTTTTAAAGAGATTTATTTGTTTATACATACAAGAGCTGGGGTACAGGCCAGAGGTTTGGGAGGTGAGAGGATTCACCAAAGACAGAGTGGGGAACAGAACAGGCAGATTGAGCATGGTATACTGCTGAGGGGAGCAGCGGGAGAGACAGGAGAGGTCTGCTGTGCCATGTGGGTTGCTCCCTGGCCAGCCGGGGATCAAACTCGTGCTGCAGAGGCTGCGGACAGCTTCATAGGTTGCATCTTAACCCCTTGCGCCACCAGGGAGGCACTATTTTTGCATATCTTTATTTTGAATCTTGGCATCTAACTTTCCATTTCCATTGTGTGTGTGGTGGGGGAAGGCAATCTACCATATAAACTTATATACAGAAATGTTTTAGAAAGAGCAAAACTAACAGAATCTGAAAATTTCTAGTAAATTTATTTGCTCAATAAATAATGAGAGTTCATCAGTGAACAAAGCAGAAGATCCTTGCTGTCATGAAACTTAAATTTTGATGTGATAAGACTTATAGTGAATAGGGAATGAGTAAAATATGTAGAATGTGGTGATGAGTACTGTGGAAAAAATAAAGAAGGGAAGAAAAGGGAAAGAGAAAATGCTTCAGTGTTTTACTTAAAATTTTTATTTTTTTGGTAGATAATAAATTTATATGGTCAAATCAACATGAAAACATCAACAAATAAGAACTAGAAGTCACACTCTTACCTTATGTCTGCCCACTTCACTTTCCTGTTTTCTACATGTAGCGATTTTCATTAGTATCCTGTATGCGATATCCTCCACAGGTTCTTGGGAACCACATATAATGAAACAAGGTCCTTGAGCAATGTTGTTTTGCTTAATGTTGGCTGTGAATTTTTTTCTCAGTCATGTTACAGCAAAATGATCTTGAATGAAATGACATTATTTGAGGAACTGCTGTGTATCCTTCCAGTGTTTCTGGATATGGATCCAATCAAATGTGCATTTTGAGGCTTATTTCCCCCTTTTTACACAAAAAGACAATGTACTTTAATTATATACTTGCTTTTTTTACTTAAAAATACATCCTCACCATCTTTACATACGGACATCTAAAGAGCATTCTGTTTTCTTAAAAATCACTACATAGTACTACATTATGTGAATGTGCCAGAATTTATTTTGTATCATGTATATTATATATATTTATAATATAATATATATATTTATGAGAACCTACTAGCATATTAGGTTACTGGTGTGACATATTACATTAGTGATGAGACATTACAGTGAGACTAGCTAGGATGGCTAATGTGTTTTTCTTTAGTTACTTTCAACTACATGGGTGTGGGTGCAAAGTGGATAGAGGTTTGAATTTAACTGGGATTAATATTGTTTGAAGCTACTATGATGAAAAAAAATGAGAAAAGAATAAGGGAATTGAAGGTGTATGCAGGAAGAGATTATAAAAATAAGTCATGGAATCTGAACTGGTTAGAAAGGGAAATGATAGTGTCAGCGCATATAGTCAATGCTGAGGTAGTAGAATCAATAGTTTCAAGTCCCAATTATGAGAAGGTTTTTGGAGTCAGGGTTCTAAATGGAGTGGAGATAAATGTGGTAGTTAGAGAATAGTGTGCTTGTATGTGAGTTAGGTAAGGATGCAGTGATTGACAAAGACAAGATTCAGAGTAACATCAAGGAAGAGTTGACTGAGGTTAATTGCCGGGCAAGATCTTTGGGAGAGAGGAAGTCAAAGGCCCAAGAAACCAAGAAATTGGAATGTTGCTTGTGTGCATATTTCAATCACTAAGAGAGAGGAGTAGGGTTGGAAAAAGGACTGATAATGAGCTGTTTGCTAGAGCTTAAGGCATTAATGGAATGACAGAGGGTTGTGGATGACTGCAAGAAGGGTGCTCCATCAGTGGAATTCTGATAACATTAGCTTGAAAGCTAGTCTTTTTGTTTTTCTGTTTCAAGGAAGGAGGGAGATTTCCCCACATTTGGGTGGCAATGGCCCCACTGAAGTGTGTGATACACCCTGAGAGACCTGGGGTTAGCTCTTGATCTTCAGGTAATATTGTCAGCTTTCTGATGGATATGCCAGTCACCCACATATTCAGGTTCAACAGTCTTGTGGCAATGGATGGGACTGTGAACTGTGCTCTGATAGTGATGCCATCAAAACCTGCATCACATTGCTTCTAGGTTGCACCTGGGTATTTGTTTCCATTGAACTGCTTGATCTGCAACCCAGTAGCTAGGTCTGTCATATTGTTTAAATTTGGAGTCAAGAGATGTATCTCTTTTTAAAAGGTGAAGTCATAAACTCTTCATGCAGCCTAGAAATTGTTTACTACACCTAGTCCTACATGGAGATTTGAAAAGAAATGTTTTTGAATGTGAGGTTTACAGTATTTGTTGCCATTGCTATCATTTAACTAGATTTCTTTTCATTACCTTTTAAAATGAAGTTCTTTGCAGATCAATTATTTTGAATTTGAACAGAGTTTATACTTTAAAAATGTAATTTATTTAGCTATGTTCAGAATTGTTCCATTTGTTTTCTAGCCATTCAGTTATTAAGATATGAAGGTAGATGTATCAGTAAATTCTCAGTGTACAAGGCAGAAACCATTCTCTGAAAAGAAATTCATGGCTTATAGAATACTGTGGAAGGACTGGAGGAATTAAATAAGGAAGCTGTCCCTACCATTGAGTTCAAGGGCACACGCCATAAATATGATCCAAAGATTAGGAAACTACAGCCACTATCATTATCACCATGTCTGCCTCTCAGGACAATGAAGCTGGTGCCTAGAAATTAGAATACTGGGATGGGTACTGAAATTGCCCCCCAAACACTCCTGTCATCGTAACTGACTTCCAGCAACAGGAGATAGCCTTTACTTCTGCCTTTCATGTCTTACCAAGTGCATTTACTCATGGAGCTGAATTTATATCCAGAAACATATCTGCAAGGGATTATGGGAATTGTAGTTTTAGCTCTATCATCTTTGCCTAGTTAAAGGATGGCATGGAGATTGAAAGAGTAGTTAACTACAATATCTACTAACCTAGATTTGGTTGAAACTCTTGAATAACAAATACTGCCTAGTTAAAATGTCAATAAAAGAAAAATTGCTATCTTTAAGCCATGTCTATTTTGTATCACAAATCAATTGGAAATAGCAAGGACTTCCTCTTATGGTAACATATCTGAAAGGTGTGATACTATACTTCTAAATCAAATACAGTGTCATAAACCAATGTTACCATAATAAAAAATAAAAATAATGAAACCAAATTATCTCACTAGCGTGAATAATTTTGTATTTGATGGTGCCCGTGTGTTAACCTTTGAAGTCTCAATCCATTAAATTAATTCTAGGGGTGAAAAAACAAAAGATACTTCTTGAAACTTTTAGGACTTTAAATTCCTTTTATTCATAGTTTTCATTTTAGTGTGTCTGTGGAGATGCCTGCCGTTCTTTTCAGAAGACTTTTTTACATTTTTGGCTTCTGTGTCTTAAGCATTATTATACTAATAGAGTTCTATACTTTGCCTTGGGTTTTTTTTCCCTTTCTCTCCTTCTGTCAAAACTCATTTTAGTGAAAGAGACCTTTCCCTGAGTTATCATCTAGAATCAAATTTGAAGAGAAAAATGATCATAACTAATTTTCTGATTATCAGTTGAAGTGGTACATTTTAACAATAGAACTGTTTTTATTATAAATTGATAAAGAGGATTATATGAAAGTTATTTGTCTTCCAATAATTGAAGCTTTGTTTAGAATTTTATTTGAGTTTTTGAGGTTGTCTGAAAGATAAATTACTTTATGGGGGGAGGATAATCCATATTATCATTGGGTATACACTTTAGAGATCCCAGGAGGCATGTAGATCATGTATTTAATTAAGGCTCTAGGGATTCACTGAAGTTCTTTAAAAAATAGACACCTATAATGACTAAGTTATATTATTTATCAATTTTTATAGTGAAACAATCATGTTTCTTCATGAAATATTTCATCAAGGACTGAAGGCAAGGATAGCAAACTGGCCTACTTTAATATTAGGTAAGTACCTGCTTTAGCAATATAAGATTTTCTCTTAATAGGGCTACAAGTAGAGCAAAGTAACACCCACATTATTCAGTTGAAGCTATCTGAATTTTCCTGTTGACCATTGTGACTCTATCACCACTGAGAATCTGTCTCATTACTCTTTGAGACCTGCCTCAGTAGTTCCCTTTTGGCCCTTTTCCCTGACCTGTCATGGTTGTTTTGGGGATGAGCTGGGCTCTGCCCCATGGTGCATTCTACAGATCATTGAGGCATTCAGACTGGGACCCCATGCATGCATGACACCTGGTGCTGGGAGCCACTCTCTGTCATTACAAGGAGTGAACACAATCTCTCCCTGTACCTTAGAAAATTTAATAAGCACAAAGAGAACTGCCATGTTTACTTCTTCTTTCCAGCTGATCTGTTTGATATTTTGCTTCCTATGCTGAACATTTATCAAGAATTTGTGCGTAATCACCAGTACAGCCTTCAAGTGCTTGCTAATTGTAAGCAAAACAGAGATTTTGACAAACTCTTAAAACAGTATGAAGCCAACCCTGCCTGTGAGGGGAGGATGCTGGAAACATTCCTGACCTATCCGATGTTTCAGGTGAGTCATCTGGGATCCGTGCTATAAGTTACTGGTTCCATCTTGATATTATGGTACCTAGTTTGACGAGAGGGAGATGTAAAAGGATTTCCTGTGAGGAATTGAATCACATAAGCATCATCTATCATCTTAGCTTGACCCTGAGATAAACAAGTTTAGGCCACTCAATCCCTCTCTGTCTAGTATAGGTAAGAAAAGCAGACATTTTGAAGCAAATAAACCGGGAATGATTTTTTGAAAAGCAGCACAATTTTCTCTTACAAAAAGTTTCCACACAGACCTCTTCCATGGCGTCTCCTCCTCCAGCATGTTTAAAAATATTATTAGGTTTACGGAAATAGGATGCTGTGCAAATGTTCCAGTGTATGCTTGTTGCATAAAAGGTTCCCAGGGAGTGGAGTGAGTGCTGGGAAGGTCTTTGTTCCTGCCCATCCTCCTGCCTGTTGTCCTTGCTGTTGCGTTCCCTGTGACTGGAGCTCTGGAGAGCAAAGGAAGGACATCCCCAGTCACAGAGGCTGTGGAGACTTTGGAGCCAGAGACATTGGTTGGACCAGGGGCTCTTGGCTCCTGATTAGGTTGCTGTGGTGAGGCTGGGGCTTGTCCTGTTGTTTACTTTTTGGGATTAGAGCAACCCAGAGATCAAGTACACTTGAGTTTTCTCCTGTAGGCTTTACCCTTAGAGCTCTTCGGTGAAAACTGTGGAAGCCAAAATGTTCATTGAATCTCCTGTTCTTTTGAAAAGTGTGTCAATTCTGTTCTTTTGGAAAGGCATGAATGTTCCCATTTATGTAATTTATGGGGCTTCCAAATAGACCTTTAAATTGTCATGTGGTAAACAGGTTCTCCTAATTGTGTGTGTTAGGGTTTCTGTGGAGAGGCATGTTTCCTTGAACAGGCATCTCTGACTCTGACTGTTTTGTAATCTCATAAAGAAATGTTGCTCTGGTTCCTAATTGCTTGTCTAAAAGTCAGATCCTGCTCAAATCCCAGGAGGTCACTGTAGAAGTTCAGTTAAGACTTTTAAAAACCAAAAGGATGCATTTGAAACAACTTAAGTATAGTGAAACTTTATAATGTTACTGTGTTTTTTCATGGAACTGAATTGTTTAAACACTTTGTCTCTGAGGAAATATTTCACAAGACAAACTTCAAAAAATGTTTGCCTTATACAAAATTATAATTTAAGATTTAACTTAGAGTGAAACAAATTTTATATAATGCATTGTTCTGGATTCTTATTTGAATCTTCAACATGTACCTCTAGGTTACAGTTAAATATTCTAAATGGTGTATCTTCAGCGGCCCCAATACAGGTGAATATGTAAAGGGAGAGTTGTGAAAGTCACATAGGACGTTCAGGGAGGCACCTGGCTCCCTTTCTGATAGCCCACTGTTGTACTGTTTAATACCCCTTGGTATAATTCTCTCTGTGTTTCAAAGTAGTGAATTTCATTTGCATTTTGGGTGAAATGTCCAAACACAGTTAATATAGGTTCTCAGATAAGCCTTTGGATTTATATACTCTTCTGTTACCCTTCCACCTGCATCTCCTTCTGCTACTCCCAGGGTTTAAGCCACTAACAACTTGGCATTTTGATTCACCCCCAAGGAATTTCCATAATATCAGTAAAGGATCATTGGACTGAGAGTATCATTGGGGAAAAACCAATATCAATCTTCATTTATAAATCTCTAAACTGGGGTAACTGAGCTCTGTTACCATCTAAGCTTCTGGTTGTCTGGCTCTCTGATTCCTGGGGGACAAGCCTCGTTTTGAAAGTTTGAATTGGGTAACTCAGTGGTGTTGCCAAGAACCTGGTCTTCATCTTTGGTCGCCACCCCAAGATTGTGGTGGTCAGCAACCCTAGACTTCCGCTGAAGAGCCGAATGTTGACATTCTCTGGATTCTTCCAGGCCTCAGTTTATGAGAATTATTGTTCTGGGAGAAGACTCAAACTTAAAGAATTTAGCCAGAATTGATCCAACTGCAAGAAATCGCAAATCGAAAGTACACTGAACTGTGCTTTTATTTATTTGCTTCCCCATAACTATTTCCAATAGACCAAGAGGGGAAATCACCAAAACTTACTGTGAAAGGGCCTCATTCTCCTGTGTCTTCCTTCTCTTATTTACTTGGCATCTCTTCCTCCTGCCTTCTCTGTAGAGCTGACCATTTGAAACAGTTGTAGTGGAGAGGGGAGGGGAATGACCCTTTCTAGAACTTGTAGGTTTTTTCCTTACTAGGTTCATTCTGTCCTTCTTTCCTTTGGTCCTTTAGCAAGTGGGGTGTGACAGTCATGAAGGCTTCCTTGGATTTCCAAGTGTAGCATGCAGTGAATTACAGTGGTACTTCTGCACTTCTCTTTTGCCTTGGTGTGGTCTGGATGCCTCAGGATGAGACTGGTATGCTCTGCGTTTTTGCTGTAGGGCAACAGTAGAAAAGGTGACCCCAGTTCATACTGTCAGGGGGCCCTGATCCAGACTTTTTGTTGAGCTTTTATGGGGGCAGAAGTTGGAGTAGGGGGAGAGGGAGTAAGAGAGGTGATTGGCAGCTTCTAAACTATGTACATGTAAAAGAGAGAAGTGGGGCCTCCCCGGTGGTGCAACAGGTTGAGTGCCACCCCGTGAAGCTGTCTGCAGCTTCTGCAGCACAGGTTCGATTCCCAGCCAGCCAGGGAGAAACTCACATGGCGTGGCAGACCTCTCCTGCCTTGCCCGCTGCTCCCCTCAACAGTGTCTTTGGTCCGTCTGCCTGTTCTGCTCCCAGCTCTGTCTCTGGTGAATTCTCTCACCCTCCCGTGCCTCTGACCTGTACTCTGGTTCTTGTATAAATAAATAAATCTTTAAAAAAAAGAATAAATCAGAATCAAGAGGGTTAATATTTTAAAAAAAAATAAAAGAGAGAAGTGTTCTACACTTCCTGTACCCTTTGTCGAATAGTCAAATGCTGTGATTAATGAACTGTGTTGAACTATGGAAACATGGAGGAATTGTAGAATTGAATGAAACAGTAAATTTATCCTCAATTGAACTGACAAGTAAGTACAGTATTGCCAGGAAATTTGTTTTGGAAAATAATGTAGTCATTAACATCATTTTTATTTAGCAAAGACAGTGGCTTGGCTGGGACTGTTTAAATTGACTTCAGCTGCTCATAAGTCCATAGGTGAACCAACCATGAAACCTCCTCCTGACAAGAACAGCACTGTTAGAGTTCTCCAGAAAGTAACTGCTTGCTGCTCTATTCACCTATTTACTCTAATTGGAGAACAAACTAATTAATGTCTATAAAGTGACAAGTATTGTTCCATAATTGAAAGCAGACTTATGATTCATCTAGACTATACTTACTATGATTTTTGAGTTTTGGGAGGGAACAGATTTACAATCAGTTTTTAAGTATACAGATGAGCTCTTTGGAGAGATGTCCACTTCCCTGCAGAATGTCCTTTGCCAGCTTTTTGGCAGTCTTGGGCTTATTTATACTTTCACCAGAAATGGGAAGGGCTAGTTACTGAATTTCAAATCCATCCACTTGAATCTTTGCCAAGGAGCTCTCTAAAATAGATTTAATTAATGGGGGAGGATCATGAAGCTATTGACTAAACTTAGTTTTGTGGGTTTTCAGTGCATTATAAGTAGTCATGCTCTCCCACTCCTGCCCTCTTTGTTATGAAAAATTGGGTACATTAGCTATTGATTGCCTTGATTTTCTTGTAGAATTATTAACTTAGAGGCAAACTTTTATCCATCATGGCATTGTGCAAAAGGAATATTTGAAAGCATACCTATGCTTTCTTCACCAAATGGAACAGCCCTAAAGACTGTCTTAGTGAGAAATTTATGTAGAGGAGAGGCAGTAGGCTTCCTCCAGATGTCCCTCTGAGGGAGAAGTCTCCCATATCCTTCCCTCCTATGATGAATCTCCTCTGTCCTTCCAAAAACTCACTTGAGGACATTCCCTAGGACATTCCTGGGGCTACACATCCATGTCTTTACTGGGGGTATTATGCATAAATGTAGGCACATAGTAAAATCTAATAAGTAACCTCAAGAAAACCACTATTTGCTTGAGAATGAAAGTAGATCCATAGATAAAGCTACCAACATCTCAGGTCAGAATAGAGAGGACCCTGGGACCCTGGGAAGCTGTTTTATCTTCTTCATTCTCAGAAGTTCTTTTATTTATTTATTTTTTTAATAAGTAATTTTTAAAAAAAAATTTATTTATTTATACAAGCACTGGGTACAGTCAGAAGCACAGGAGGGTAAGAGAATTCACCACAGCCAAAGCGGAGAACAGAACAGACAGACCGATGAAGTACACTGCTGAGGGGAGCAGCAGGCGGCAGGAGAGGTCTGTGCGCCATGTGGGACCCTCGCCCGGTGGCCAGGGATTGAACTGGTGCTGCAGAGGCTGTGGGCAGCTTCGCAACCCAGCACTCAACCGCTGCGCCACTGGGGAGGCCCTCAGAAGTTCTTTTAAATTCTGAGTGGACACTGGTCCCCATAGAAGGGACCCTCTAGATTAGCGCACTGGTCAGAGCTGGGTTCATGACAGGTTCTGCATTTACTATGATGTCACCTCGGATGAGTTACTGAACTTCTTCATACTTTGTTTTCTTTTTTTAAAAAAACATTTATTTATTTATGCATACAAGAACTGGAGTGTAAGCCAGAGGTGCAGGGGGGTGAGAGGATTCACCAGAGACAGAGTGGGGAGCAGAACAGGCAGGCCTACTGAAATACACTGCTGAGGGGAGCAGTGGGTGAGGCAGGAGAGTTCTGCTGTGCCATGTGGGTTAGCTCCCTGGCAGGCCAGGAGTCTGGGGATCAAACTCATGCTGCAGTGGCTGGCAATAGCTTGATAGCACTGTCTTTAACTCCTGTGCCACCAGGGAGGCCCCCATACTTTGTTTTCTTATCTGTAAAGTGAGGAAATAATTCTTATGGTGCTATACACACAGACCAATGGAATCGAATTGAATACCCAGAAATAAAACCACACATATATAAACAACTAACCTATGACAAAGGCACAAAGAATATGCAATGGAACAAGGATAGTCTGTTCAATAAATAATGCTGGGAAAACTGGGCCACCACATACAAAAGAATGAAACTAGACTATTACTTCACACCATGCATAAAAAACAACTCAAAATACATAAAAGACTTGGACATAAGACCTGAAATCATAAAATATATGGAAGAAAATATAGGCAAAACATTCCATAATTTACATCTCAGAAACATCTTTAAATACTCATTCCCTGAAACAAAGGAAGTTCAGGAAAAGATAAACAGCTTGGATTACATCAAACTGAAAAGCTTCCGTACAACAAAAGAAACAATAACTAAAACAAAGAGACTCACCTTACTGATTGGGAAAAAATATCTGTACTCTCTGCAACTGATAAGGGACTGATCACAAAGATCTGCAAAGAGCTCACACTATTCAACAAAACAAAGCAAACAATCCAGACAAAAAATGGGCAAGGGAGCTAAAAAGACAATTCTCCAAAGAGGAAATGCAAATGGTGAACAGGTATATGAAAAAAAATGTTCAACATGACTTAGAATCAGGGAAATGCAAATCAAAACCACAATGAGATGCCACCTCATGCCAGTGAGACTGGCACATATTAAAAAAAAAAAACAGCAACAATAAATGCTGGCAAAGATGTAGAGAGCAAGAAACTCTCTTACACTGCTGGTGGAAATGCATACTGGTCCAGACACTATGGAAAGCCTTGTGGAGGACCCTCAAACTACTAAAAATGGAGCTACCATATGATCCAGCAATTCTACTCCTAGGAATCTACCCAAAGGATACAAAAATATTAATTCAAAAGGAAACTTGCTCTCTTATTGGCTATTCACAATAACTAACATATGGAAGCAATCTAAAGGCCCAAAATCAGATGAATGGATCAAGAACTGGTATATATACACAATGGAATACTATTCAGTAATCAAAAAAGATAAACTCATGTCATTCGCAGCAACATGGATGGAGCTATCAGGGATTATGCTCAGTGAAATAAGTCTGAAGGAAAAAGAAAAGTATTGGATGGTTTCACTTATAGGAGGAATATAGGGTAACTAAACAAGGGATCAAGGAAAAAAAGACAAAACTAGCAGGCAAACTGTAAGTTGGAGACACTCAGCGGGGGGGGGAGGGAGAGGAATTAAAACGGGTGGGAAGAGCAGAAGAAACTATAGTGATGGTTCATGGGTGACTTGGTGGTGGAAATTTTATGGGGACTACACCGGAGAGAAGGAATTAAACAGTGTACAAAAATGAACAATGATGTAAAATATATATGTGTGTAAGTATATTAAACGATAATAATTTTTATGGTGCTAGTGCATTGGCAGATCCAGGAAAGCACATGCTCAAGCCTCTGACCTGACCCACAGCTGGCAGTTTTATGGTAGTTGTTGTTTATACTTGTTATTATTAAAACCAAGCCCACTGTTCCTGCTTTCTAAAGAATTTTAGTTTGTAAGCCAGAAGAAAAATATGCTGAATCACTGTAACTTGAGTTAAATCTCTATTGTGGTCTGTTAAGAACCTTCAAAGGATTGGCGGTGTTTCTACAAAAGACAGCATCCAAGCAAATAGTCTGTTCATCAACAAAAACACAAGTAAATAATACAATAAAACAATACTATTTACTGCTGGAAGGATGAATTGAGATAAACTAGGCCCAGACCGTCATGAGAATGAATGTGTCTTTTCCTAAGTTTTAATTCTACATTCCAGGACCATTGCCAATTGGAAAAAAAAAACATAAACAGGCAAATATGTCTAAATACATGTGTTTCTCTATAAACTAATTTTCAAAATTTATGGTTAAATATATATGATTATATTAAGAAATCTAAAGAAACACTTTTTTCTACCATTATACTTTATTACTCTTTTCATGTGTTCTTGAATTTTTTCTGTTTTTGTGAAGTTTGAAGTGTAATTGATTTTAATGTATTCCTTTGAAAGTGTGTTTGTGAAACAATCAAAACTGTTAGAGATGAGCTAACAGAAGTGATAATGGCACAGTAGAGAATGTCCCAGTAGAACATATCCTGACCTCTTACTCATGCTTGCCTTTCTCTTTAGATCCCCAGGTACATCATCACACTCCATGAACTCCTAGCCCATACACCCCATGAGCATGTAGAGAGGAAAAGTCTGGAGTTTGCTAAATCAAAACTAGAGGAACTGTCCAGGTATGCAGAGAACTTACAATAAAGTCTTGATCTGGGAATGCAGTAAGTGAGCCTCTGGAAACCTAACACTTAAGTCCAGGGAACAGGAAGCAAACCAGTTTGATTTCTCATATTGACCTGAATATGAAATGCTAGCTCCTGAGAGGTGGTACTGAATCAGAATGCCCATTAATTTAACAACAAATATCCTTGAAGATGTGTATATAGCATGTGAATTTGTAGAATTGAGATTTGGTGTTTTTTTGTATTCAGTTTGGAAATGTTCACATTGCCTTCAGCATAATAAAAACTAATTTTAGGCGCATTTTTATTCATATTTGGCAAGAAACTAGAGGTTATATATTTTGGACTTAGCAGTGACTATTATTTTAGGTAATTATTTACATCTGTATTTATCTTGCTTCTATAGGATAAGTGGTATAATTTATCTTACCATAAGAAATGGCAACTTAATTTCAGTGAGGGACCTGCTCATAAAAGAGCAGGTTGCTTTCCTGTGACATTGACAAGCAACATTTGACCCACTTACATTTGGTACATTGGCCTTGCTTTGGGTCATGCTGAAGCCTGGAGGTCTAGTCTACCTCCCTCCAAAACCTAGTCACATTGATACAAGTTCAAAACCAAACTTCTCAGGTGGAGCTTTTCTTTGCATACTGCTAGGTCAATAGAAAACACCTCTTACTGTGCCCTGCCTGTGTTGTGTTCGACAGGGTAATGCATGATGAAGTGAGCGACACTGAGAACATTAGGAAAAACCTTGCCATAGAAAGAATGATAGTAGAGGGCTGTGATATTTTGCTGGACACCAGCCAAACTTTCATCCGCCAAGGTAAGTCCTTGTTTAATGGACCCACTGTCTATTCATCTCTGCGACTGTTCCATTGTCACTGGCAGATCGTTTTGGAGCAGGTTTGATTTAGCTGTGTGAGTGATGCTGTTCATGCAGGACATCCTTGTGGCCTTGACCAAGGCTGTGGTTGAGGCCCACCTTTGTGCTGTTTCTTTTCAGGGGCCATGAAAAACAGCAACACAATAATAGTAAAGCACGAGTGGGACAGTAAGTTACATTCTGACTGGACTCTCCTCCTCAGTGGACCGGACATTCTCTACAGCTCCAAGGAGTGCAGATCTGTTTGGCCGATTGAAGTGGCAATGCCAGGTGGTGACAACATCCAGGCAAAGACCCAAGAGAAACTTGCATTACTCAAAGCCCTTTCACATAGCAGTGGAGACACTGTCCGCAGTGAAAACAGCTGTCTTTTGTTCCCATTTTTCATCAGCACTTCTGGATCGGTCCCACAAGATATGATTTGATTTGATCAGTCACTTCAGTTACCATATGAAATGTCTCACTCTTTGGTAATGGCAAAGGTATCATGTTTGTGGGAGGTAATTTGGGCCATTACCCAGTAAGTTAAGCTTCTGAAGAGTTGAAGATATTTGTGCTGGAACTGGAGAAGCAACAGCTTAACAGTGCATATTCCTACCTGGCTCTGATTCCCAAGTGCATGAAGTAAACCACATCCCGAGTTCTTTTTAAGTGCTTATATCTTCTGAGGGAGGGCAGCATGCTCCATGGAATTGATTTGAGATGATATATGGTGCACATTTATGATTTTGAACTTGGTGGCACTTGCACATATGTTTGGAACTAAGATTAACCTTTAATGTAGTTTCTGTTTGTGATGTCCCAGTATCACTTGAAGATAATTGCGTTCTGTTGCCTACCAAAATGTGCTGCTTAAAAATATTTTTTAACCTCATCAAACAAGACATTATTTGTACTGTGCATCTTAATTTTTGCACAGCATACTTAAAAAATTTAACACATGCTGTTCTATTTTCCATTATTTTATTTACAAGGAGAGAAATCACATGTGAAAATTTGGAGGCATATTTTAAGAAATGATACCTTTTTCATTTTTGGCTTTCCATATTAATACTTCTTTAAATATTAGTGAACTAGAAGGCCTATCAAAGGTCTGCTTGTCCTACTAGGCTCAGGTCAGTTACCTTTAAGGAGCCTTTTAATATTTTGTCCTCATCTCCCCCTTACCTCCCCTCCAGTTAGAATGAATTTACCTTCCTCTTCATTTAAGACCCTTTGCTCCTGCTGCATGTATTTCATGCTCTTGTACACTATAGGTACATGTTTGCATGCCTGTCTCTCCCAGTAATTGAAATTCAGAAAGGCAGCATTTTTATGAATTCTTTCTTCTCTATTATGATGCTTTATGTTATAAATACCTGGAAAATAGGCATTGGATTAAATTTAATTGCCCGTTGAATTGCAGCTTTGATAGTAAAATGTCATATTTTGTATTTTTCTTGTATTTGGAGTACATTGAAAATTGATTATTAATTCACTTGAACTTTATAGTGTGAGAATAAAAACAAAATTTCTATAACTAGTATTCAATTTCTGAAAGGATTTTGATTGAAAAGTATTATTGCACATGAACATTTAATATTTTTACAAATAGACTTTCAATCTAAGTTTGAAAAAAATCTATAATGAAAAATGTTGGAAGATTGGCTATATTGAGTAAATCATTTTTTTTTCATTGCATGTAGAGGAAAAACAGTCGTTAACCACCTCTTTCTGTGATTCATGTCCAGATGTTATTTATTCCTTGTTCTGTGTTTAAGTCATTTCTGTCAGCTATGAATATTTCTGATGTTATTGTATTGATATTGATATAATGATTTCAGCAGTATTTTTCTGTATTGTTTGGTTTGGTTAGTCTGGTTAGAAATTATTCAATAAAGGTGGCTTTAAAAAAAATCAATCCTTATTCTGAAAGTAGAAAGTATTCCAAATATGACAATTTGGAAATTTTGCATTATTTTGGCTTGGTTGCTCCTACTATCACTTTTACTAAATCCTCTTAACAGACTTTAACATCTATTGAGGTGGATTTTTTTTATTATTTAAAACTTTGAGAATTTCATATTCTACGAAATGGATTTATCACTATAATTGTGTGCTAGTATTTGTGTTATTTACTTTAATAGATAATATGAGGTCTCCGTGTGTGTGTGTGTGTGTGTGTGTGTGTGTGTGTGTTTGCATGAATTTTTATTCTGAGGACTAGGGAAGATATGTTATCTTAGTTCAGGCCATCTGAAAGGCCTCCTTATTCAGCTATCTTGAATATCAATCAATCCATGGATAGTTAGTGATTGAAATAGCAGAGGTTTTTTAAAAAATAATTTTTATTGCATTAATACTGGTTTACATCATTGTTTCTATTATGGAAGTGTAGGATTCCCCTGCAGGCACTGTTGCCATAGTGTGCCCACCACCAAAAACTCCATAGTCCACCACCATAGACCCTTGTTCCCTCCCTTCTGTGTTTTCATCCTTCCCCTTTCCTTCCCACACTCTCTCGTTGCCCCCATTCTACAGTCAGCTTTCAAGGGTTAACTTCTTAGTTTGGTTTTATTGACCATTTTGTTTTTCTCTATTTCTATATTCCACATATAAGTGACACCATCCGGTGTGTGTCTTTCTCCTTCTGACTGATTTCACTTAGCATTATTCTTTCCAGCTCTATCCATGTTGCAGTGAATGGCAAGAGTTCATTTTTTCTGATAGCTAAGTAGTATTCCATTGTGTGTGTCTGTGTGTCTCTGTGTGTGTATGCACAATACCTTAATCCATTTGTCTGGTTTTGGGCATTTAGGCTGTTTCTGTATCTTAGCTATTGTAAATAGTGCTGGAATGAACTTGGAAGTGCAAGTTTCCTTTTGAATTAAGTGTTTTTGTATTTTTCAGGTCAATATCTAGGAGTGGAATTGATGGGTCATATGGCAGATCCATATTGTAAATTAATTCCAATTGTTAGACAGCTGATAAGAAATGCAAAGGATAGCGGTGGTCTGATATTGCCATTTATTTTTTAAAAGTCTATTAAAAATTTGTTGAACAAATGTATAAGTGAGGCACTAATAGAAAGACAGGGCCTCCCTGGTGGCTCAGGGGTTAAAATCCCAGCACTATCAAGCTGTCACCAGCCACTTCAGCATGAATTTGATCCCTGGCTATGTAGATGACCCACATGGTGCAGCAGACCTCTCCTGTCTCGCCCCCTGCTCCCCTCAGCAGCGTATTTCAGTAGATCTACCTGTTCTGCTCCCTACTCTATCTCTGGTGAATCCTCTCACCCCCTTGCACCTTTGGCCTATACCCCTGTTCTTGTATGCATAAATAAAAAAAAATCTTTTAAAAAAACCATAATAGAAATACAGCCTAGCCATGATACTGGAGGTCAAATCCTGTCACCTCCACTTGCCTGCTGTGTGATATTCGACAAGTAACACTCTTTGCTTCAGTTTCTCCTTCCTAAGTGGGAGTTAATAGTCATACTTGTCTTTTATAGTTGTCAAGATTAAATGAACTAATGCTTACAGTTGCATCTCAACCAGTGCAACCTGTGAGATTATGACATAAATTAAAAAAATAAAACCCAGGGTTTGGAATGAGTTTCTATTTTCAATAATATAAAATATATGTGAATATTTATTAAAAAAGATATAAGTACTTTAAATCGACATTTTGATCAAAACTGTTATTCATAGCCAGTGTTTTCTTATGGAAATATGAACCAGGACAATTAAATAAAGGTGACTGAATTCAGAGCAAAATGCATTGAGAATGAGATGTGGATGTCTCTGGTATCTTAATCATTCCCAGGCTCTAAATCATGTACTTTCAGTATACCTAGTTCTTTGGAATTGTAACATGGGGTTTAGAAATAGTTATACCTTCTTAAATGTTAACCCAAAAACTTGGAAATTGCTCTTCATTCTTTTCACTACTGAGTGGAATTAAGAATAAGGGCATTACTCAGTCTTGAATGCCTCTCTCTGGAATTTAGTGATTGAAATAACAGAAGTTTTATTTTAAGATCACCTCAATTATTAAGTATACTGATGACTGAGATGCAAAGGACTGTGTTATAGCAGTGGTCTGATACTGAGGACTTAGGAATTTAATACTAATTTTTCTCTAATTAGTATTAACTGGAGAAGACTTTCCTAGGCTTAAGGCTGTGTTACAACACCATAGATTATTTTTAAACAAGAATCCAGTTAGCATTTTTTCCCAAATATGATTACTTATAAACCAAACAATAGTGCTGAAATTGCTCATTTTTTATTAGATGTATAGATTTCCATTCATACCTAATGTACATATAGTCTTAGTTGGATATGAGTGAACAGTTATAGATTAAGCATGTTAGTGTGTAATTACTAAGGAAATATAATTTTTTTTTGTTTTTGTGAGACCCTTGCCGGCGGCTGGGGAACGAACCGACGTTGCAGAGGCTGCGGGCAGTCTCGCAGCCCAGTGCTCAACTGCTGCACCACCAGGGGAGGCCCAGGAAATATAATTTTTTAACCTCAGAGCTGAAATTCATAGTAATCACTAATATATGATCTGGCATGTATTTTGTATTTTTTGATTTGCAAAAATCATTAAACGCTAGAAACATTTACCACTGAAACACTATTATCAAGTATTCATAGCCTTGTTTATATCCTCATATCCTTTCTGAAAATGACTCTTAAACCAATTTGTCTGTCAAGATATTTGCCTAAGCCCAGTCTTTCACTCTATCTTAATGGATCTGCTTAATTGTTGACTTATGATCATTCATGGCAAAGCTGGAACTTACTGTCTTCCCATCCATTCGTTCCCCAACTTTCAGTTTTTATTTAGCGGAATCCACTTCTGTCTTCTGGCTGTGTCACTCAAATAAGGGTGACCTTAGGAAAACTGTTAGGCCTCTCAGGCCTCAATTTCCCTTTCTGCGAAGTGAGGGGATAATCAAGGTCCTCTGAAAGATCTCCCTTGGCTTCGATTCCACTCCATGAATCCCATGAATATAATCCTTCTGCTGGCATTACCTGCCCATCTACCCCCTAAGCATTACCTTCTGCTTCCCCATCTTCCCTTACTCTTCAAACAGTTGTTCCTGTCCTCTGTCAGTTTGCTTTTTCTCCCCTGTTACCCCTTAGTTCACTTCCTCTTGTCTATTCCTTTCAGAGGAATTAAGCCTTTACCCTGTCCCACACCCTTCCTCAGGATTGCTTCCCTGCTATTCTTTAGGTCCCAGTAGCTGACCACTCTGCCTCCATCAAGCTGTTCCACCTAAATTGAGATGGAATCTGGGCATCTTCATCCCCTATACACCTGTAGATCTCTGTTAAAAAGCAGATTCTATTTCAGATATTTGTATGTTAATATGAAGGTTTTGTGATCCATAATCATAGTTTTATTGTTTCACATATATAAAGAACTTCAGTGTTCTTCCTACTTACAGATGTAATTTGTGCCCGTAATAATAAAAAAACAAGACAGGAAACCCAGAAAATGTATGCAGAGAGAAATAAGGCTGTTTGTAATCTCATCTCTTAGTGATGATCACTGTTAATAAATTTAAGTGTTGAATATACATTTGATGATTTTTAAGAGGCTAATAAGAGCCCTTGTAAGGCTGCACTTGGGGTAGCTGGTGGATTAAATAAATAGTAGAAATATTACAGGCTTGGGGCATTTCATAAGTCAAAGGCAAGATATTTGCAAGAATCTTTCTTAGTACTTTTTATTTTAATGTCTAACCTTGATAGGAATTTTGTTTTTTGAGTGATGGGGTCACTCTTAGGGTGAAATTATATAACCTTACATCTATTTCAACTATGTATAACCTTACATTGAATGAAGCATAGTTTTGTTAACAGGAATGCTCTTAGATTTTATTTGGCTTAATATCTATTTAGAGTCCACAAAGAGCTAGCTGCCCTCTAAAAATTGTCCTTACTAGCATTGAATTGTGAATTGTACAAATTTATTTTTTAAAATATGCATGTATAGTATTCTCTACTTTTAAGATACAAAGTAAACTATATTAATATACTGTTTATCTACCTTCAGTGCTTCAGGAAGAATAAATTCCATTTGCTTTTTATTTTGTTATTTTATTACTATATGGAATTATACAATATGTACCTTATTCTTTAGTAAATAATTTGATTGAGATCAGTCAGTTAGGCACAGATGGCAAAAATGCATAGCTATTTGAATTCAATTTGGCTTTCTTTTAAACTTATTTTTCCAGCTTATACATGAATAATCAAGACTAGAGTGTTTTACAAATATTTTACAAATTAGTTACAACTCTTAAAACACAGTGCTTTGTTCTGTTCAGTGTAGGGGATTTACTTGTTTTAATGGTGCATTAAATAAATCCTTGGTATCTTAGGAAACAAGCCATAGTGTTTATTGCATCAAGAACAGCTCTCACTTGACAGAATTTTAATTGCTGTGTATTCTTCACTTTTGTGATCACCAGGTTCTCTCATTCAAGTACCTTCTGTTGAGAAGGGGAAGCTTAGTAAAGTTCGCCTGGGTTCATTATCTTTGAAAAAGGAAGGAGAAAGACAATGCTTCTTATTTACAAAACACTTTTTAATTTGTACAAGAAGTTCAGGAGGAAAACTACATCTGCTCAAGGTACTGGTTTTATGTGACTATTCCATTTATGTTCCATGCACATTGAGATTAATTAAATTATGATTTTCCTATGCCAGTTATCATGAAACATTGTCACTATTGCATAGTGATGTACAGTTACCAACCTTGACATTTACTTGATTGTCACTAGGATTCTAAATAATAGAAATTTAAGTGAGCATTACTATAAAAAGGTACAATTAAAATCATAACCTGGGGCCTTCCCTGGTGGCACAGCAGTTGAGCACTGGGCTGCGAAGCTGCCCACAGCCTCTGCAGCGCCGGCTCAATCCCCAGCCACCAGCGAGAGTCCCACAAGGTGCACAGACCTCTCCTGCCACGTCCGCTGCTCCCCTCAGCAGTGTACTTCATCAGTCTGCCTGTTCTGTTCCCCTCTCTGGCTCTGGTGAATTCTCTTACCCTCCCACGCTTCTGACTGTACCCAATGCTTGTATAAATAAATAAATAAAATCTTAAAAAAAATAGAATCATAACCTGGACAAATTTATTTCTAGTTGATGTCTACTGAGTTGATGACAAAAATCTTGTCAAATCACTATGGTGTACTGATAATATTCTCTAAATGCTATTTTATCTTGCTCTGTACCAAGGGTCAGCAAACTAAGACCCACAGCTTGCTATTTGTTTTTTGTTATTAAGATTTCATTGGAACACAACCATACTAATTTTCTATATATTGTCCGTGGCTGCTTTCATGCTTTTTAAAGTGGCAGATTTGAGTAGTTGTGATGAGATCACATGGCTTGGAAAGTCTAAAAGACTTATTATCTAACCCTTTACAGAGAAAGTTTGCCTCTCTATACCTTGTGTTATTAGTGCCTAAAAATATCCAACAGCATGACAACAACTTTCTACTGCTTAAACTTCTTTCTGGTTGGTGAGTTCAGACTTTTGCTGAGTTGCATTCACTCTCTAGGACTCTGAAGGTATCATCTATTCTTCCATAGGCTGACTTGCTACATTTTATAAACACAGGATGAGAGTGGGTTGGGGAAGAAAAATAATGAAAGTTAAATGAGTTCAATTACTGTTATACATCTAAGTTTAATTATGAATTCTATGAAAATTGTGATGTAGAATTGCAATGCTTTCTTCTGTGGTGTCTTGAATATAAGATTTACAGTGTAAGATTTACAAATCAGAACTTGCAAAAATCTAGTCTCTTAGTGAAATATTGTTTTCTTTCCAGACAGGTGGGGTTCTCTCTTTAATAGACTGTACATTGATTGAGGAGCCTGATGCAAGCGATGATGACTGTAAGTTACATTCTGTCATTTGGAAACAGTATAAAAATTATAATCATATGGTTTTGTTTATATCTAAGAAGATTGCTTAGATATAAGCAGAGATGCTGAGAATAAACTCTATAATGTCATTTACATATGAAAAAATCTGTAGAACCATTTAGCCTGTGAGCCTTGTTAAACCACCTTTGGGAATTCACATTTTACTGAATTTGTGTCATGATAATAACTTTCCAATAGCAGGCAGAGAAGAAAGAAAAATTGAATTAGAGTGTTGGAATTCTGTAGATTATGGAAAATTTTATTTCCCTGTTTGCATGATTTTATTATTTCTTGGTCTCCAATGAAACATGTGATTCGAAACAATACAAAACTAAATCAAATATTCCACTGCATTTTCTGACAGGCATTAAACACTCAGGGAATTTTCTTTGTAGGACGAATGATACTGTATGGTTTAAGATTGCTTTAAGAAGGAATATTTGGCATCTTGAATAACTTCTGAGAAGCTAGTACATATTTCCATATTTGCAAAAATTCTGTGTTGGAATCATTCACATTTATAAAGGGAAAATTCCTACTTTTTCCTTGATGGTATAGAAGGCAAGCTAGATCATGGAAATGCACTGAAATCAGTGATATAAATCTAAATCTCAGGCTGCCAAGCAAAATGCTGTTTTCTTCCTACTATTACTAAAGATCTCTGACCCTGCCTCCACTGCCCGGTCCCACCTGCCCATTATGGAAAATTTTAAGACATGAATTGAGGGGGAGATCAGGAACCTAGTCCTGAGTAAACTTTAATCTCAGTTTCTTTGCTTGCTTATGAGTTTAATAAAGCCTTCTCCATGTCCAAGAGATACCATATTACTGAAATGACATTCTGGATAAGCGTGTATAACAACCCTATCACTAGCACTGTGTGAAAGCCACCATCACTCGTATTTTCATATTCACATCTAATTATTTGGTTTGCATGTGTTGAAGCCAAAGGTTCTGGGCAAGTGTTTGGACACCTGGATTTTAAGATAGTGGTGGAGCCGCCTGATGCTGCCCCTTTCACTGTCGTCCTGTTAGCACCTTCACGCCAAGAGAAAGCTGCCTGGACAAGTGATATAAGTCAGGTGAGTGGCTTTTGCCATAAGTTCTTTCTTTCTTTCTTTCTTTCTTTCTTTTTTTTTTTAATTTCACCACATAAACTTTGGGGGAGGATTTTTACAGTTATTTTGTTTTTATTAAAATACAACATCTGGTTACTGTGATCACTACCATCAGCACTATGTATCTTCATATGCTGGGATAATTTTTTGTTCCTCTAAAATTTTAACTTTCTCAAGGTTAAATTTTTTTATCTGATGCATGGGTGCATTGTTAAAGGAAATTCTATGGGAACTTCACCTAAGGGTGTGGGGGGAAGCAAATATTGTTTAAAAACGAACAATGATGTAAAAAATAAAAAAAAATTATTAAAAAATAATTTAAATAACTTCATAATTATGTTTTAAGGGGAAAAGGTTTAGGACAATGTCTGGTGTGTAAATTCATCTATGTGTATACACATATGTTATAAAATAAACACTGATCCTTTGTTTACCCTAAAAAATATTTTTTTACCTGAAATGTAATAATTGCATTTTAGTTCCCGGGCATTTTCATACAAGTTATAAATGTAATCACTCATGTGGAACAGTGTTAACATTGCCCTATTAGTAATAGATGTTTTTTACTTGTTTCTGAAAAAGGTGAGATCTACAAAAAAATAGCCACCAAGGGCTATGGCAAGAAATCACAAATTAAGGAATCTCATTGAAAAAGAGATACTGTTTGTAGTTTGAAATCTGAAAATGAACACCTGTATTCTATATAGAAAATTAGGGAACAAATTTGTTTGTCTTTCTTTGATTAGCAATGACTAGTTAGAGAATTGCTGCATTTACTCAGGATTTAGAAATATGTCAAAACTAGTCTTTTAAATGGTTCTTGGACATTCCTAAATGGAAGCTCCACATTAATTTTGGCTTTGTTGGTCAATATAAGAGTATAATTGTATAAGAAAATATGAGAAGAAGATTTGGTAATTATCTTTAAAGTTATAAAGTCAAGGAAGATTGGTGCAAACAGAAAAAACAGGTACTATAGATTCCATTGTCTTCTTTTTTTAGAGACCTCATAATAATTGATATATAAGATATAGGTAAAATATGACCTGCATAATAGGGTTTCAGATATTTAATTTTTTTTTCTGGGTGAAAAAAAAAACTAGGGTCAGATATAAAAAGGAAAAATGGCAAACATATTTTTGTATCTATGTCAAAGAAGTTTTACAGGTTTAATATCATTTGAGCCTTACAATAAATATTCTGAAATTAGAAATTTTTGTCCTGTTTCACAGGTGAGAAAACTGAGATTTGAAAGGCTAAATATGTGTCCAAATTACACAACTTCATTGAGTCAGGACTCAAACCTTATCAAGGTCTCTTATAGTGCTCTAAAGATCCATGAAAGGAATGCTGGAGCTTTGCTTATGTATCCTCAGGACTGTTTTGATGGTGGACAAAATGCTAGAAGAGAAGGTACTTCTTTTCTGGCTAACAAAAGAATGAAAAGATGGAATCTTCTATATTTGCCTAATTATATCTTGTGGTGATTTAGTGATACTCTCATTAGCTGAATTAGTACTTTAATTAAGTCTTTGCAATGCTTGTCTAACCTTACAAAATTCAGAATCACTCATTGAATCTATGAACATTTATTGAGTCATCATCACATGCAGCTCAGGTGTGGGGCAGGCACCAGAAGTGTGGCCTTGGTCACTCAAGAACACAGACATGCTTGCAGGTGATAAGGGGAAGTAGATAACTTAGAGTCCAACAACATTTTGTAGGTGTGAAGTCAAGCGAAAATAATGGGGAGAACAGGAATAGGAGAAGGTGTTTTTCTAGCTGCTTCTAGCTTCTACCTTATGATGTAATTGGGACTTCTAAGATACAGAGTTATTAAAAGCTTTAGGTGACCTTCCTTAGGGTTCATGGTGAGACATTGTTAAGAGAGAGACCTTGGTGTCCATGGATGATTCTATGCTTGGTCTTTTAAAGAATGGTTCCTGTGCTTTGCCTGCCATAGACAACCAAGTGAGTCTCTCTACTTAGACTATACTTTGAAGAAAAAGTGTACAATTTCCTCCTACTTCTCCAAGATGCTATGGCCAATATATTAAATTGTATAAGATTATATCATAAAGTGAATCATAAAAAAGAAGCTAGCAGAAATTTATAGCTTTTTGAGTGATATTGATTCTCATGATGTAAAGCTATATGTTTAGTCTTTCATAGTGTATAGTCTTAATACTTAAGATTTAATTCATTCAACAAATATACTTATGCACTGATACTATATTCCAGGTATTGTGTAGGCATGAACAAAAGAGACAAAAACAGCAGTGAAGTCCCTAATCTTACGAAGCTTACCTAATAGTTTAGGAGAGACAGAAAATAAGCAATTTTCATGATAAACACATACTATTCTATATTAAAGGTTGATAGGCCAAGGTAAAAAGTATCAAGCTACCTGAGATAGATGTGGGTCAGTACAGTATGGAAATTGTGGTTATATTATTCTGAACAGTACTACAAACAAATACTATAGTAGATGATAGAAATACCTTGTAGTTACGTGATGAAGTGAAAATCATTCCAAACAGAAGGAACAACCATTGCAAAGACTCAAAAGCAGGGGGCTATTGCATTTTTTGGAGAATAACATGAAGGTCAGTTTGGCTAGAGTTGCATGTGTGAGAGAGAGAATAGAAAAAGAAGAAATGAGAGAAATAACGGGTCAGATATGGGAGGGCCTCCTAAGCCAGTGAAAGAATTTTAGCTTGTACTCTAGATGAAAAGCGATGAAAGGATTTTGCAAAGGAATTCTATGATCTGCCTGAGTTTTTAAAAGCATCACTTTGCCTGCTGTATTGAGAATAGACAACAGATGTAGGACAAAAATGGAAGTGGCGATATGACTGAGAAGGCTACTGTAGTAATCCAGGCAAGAGATATTGAAGACTCAGACCATCATGGCAGGAATGAAGTTCATAATAAGAGTTTTGATTCTGGATTTATATTGAAGGTAGAGTCAACCCTATTTTATTGTAGATTAGATTTTGGATGTAAGAGGAAAGAAGAGTCAAGGATGACTCCAGAGTTTTTGGCCTGAGCAAATAGAAGAATGGTGGTGTCATTAGCCGAGATGCAGAGTTCAATTGGGGAAGGCAATTTTGGGATGAGTATCAGAAACTTGCTAAGGATATGTTGAGTTTCAGCAGTCTGTTAGACATTCATGTGGTGGTGTTAAATAGGTAATGCTCATAGATGTCCAAAGTTTAGGAGATAAATCAAGGAGAGATATTTTATGCCATTGAGATGGTATCTAAGGCTGTAAGATTATTGAGATCAGTGAAAGAGTAAGTGTAGATAGAAATGAAAACATAGTTTTCACTCACTCAGAACGATAGTCTGAGTGAGCGGTCAAAGAGAACAGCAAAGAGAGCTGAGAAGGAACCATTAGTGTGGATGGGGACAGCCAAAGGAGCATGGTATTTGGAAGTCAAATGAAGAAAATGTTTCAAGAAGGAGGGACTATGAGGTCATTTGCCAACTGCTACCACAGGACTGAACAAGGTAGTGAGTGTTCTCAGAGTTAGTGATTTTGCTGCTGCTCGAGTTGAATGATGAGTGGTATGGACAGAATGCATTGCTATTGATCAAACCTAGGCTGCTGCCCAGTAGCCTGTGTTTCAACTGGCTTCGCTCTCCACTTAACACATTTTCATTTTATGGGAGAAATTACGAGCTATGCATATATAGATGGAATTTGTCAGTGTCTCAAATATGTCTTGACATATTCATTATTAATAAGATGAGCCTACTGAATGCTTGAAAATGTACTGTTTAATATTTTATTATGTATATGCAAAAATATGAGCACAAAAATGAATAAAACTACTCCTAACACTGACACTAAATAAATGTTTATCAAAGTACTTCCCACAGAAAAACTGTATTAGAATTACCTGAGGGCTTTTTTAAGCATACAGAGTCCTGAACCCATATTTAGATAACCTCCAGACTTAATAAGCTCTGTAGATCACTTTTGTACATCAAATTAAAGAAACTCTGCCCTGAAAACCACTGCCATCTCAAACTCCCCACAATCCTGCCACAGAAATAATTTTACAGTTTGGCTCTCACTATACATGTGCATCATTTTACTTTTTACCTCAGAACATCTTTTTATTTTCCTCCAGATTTTTCATGTTGGTGTCTCCTGATAGCAATATATATAAAAATATATTTTTATATTTTTTATCTATATTTTTATGTTATATATGTGAGGTATATATATGTATATCTAACATATACTACCATATTAACAAAACTTTCTCTTAATAATTAGGTGAATATTTTACCATGAATATATAATGTGGTACTAAATATCTTTGTGCAAGTTTTTTTCTCCTTTCAAGATGCCTTATTTGTCTGCCTTCCCCACAACTGGTAAGGCTGGTGCAAAGGGTCTGACCATTTTCATGATTTCATAATTCTTGACTAAATAGGCTGCCAGAATGTCTGAGGAAATATAACTTATCATTTCACTGTACATCAGCAAGGTATCTCTGTAACTTCTTTTTAAGTCCTGCAAATGTTGGGTTTTGTCACATTATCACATTTTCCCATTTAATGGAAGAGTGGCATTGCTTTCTAGAGGATTTAATTTATATTCTTGTAATTATCAATGCAATTACATTTTCTAATATTTCTATTTCCTGTCTGTTTATACCAGATGGGCATTTATTCTTTGAAGCTTTTCTTACAGACTAGGGGAATTTTTTTCAATTCTAATCCATTTTCTTTCAGCCCAAATTATGAAAATATTCTTTTATTTGTACTCCTTATTATGCTTAATCTTAGTTTTTTGTGGCTTGATTTGAAGCCACCTTGCCATGCTACTGTATCGTGTTAGACTAATCATATGTGGCTCTTATTTAAGATAATGAAGTGTTCCTGAATATTGATACAATTCCAATTTCACATAAAGCACTCTATATAAAAATTAAGACTTTTGGCTTGCC